CTATCTATCTATCTATCTATCTATCTATCTATCTATCTATCTATCTAAAGAAAATGGGTTTATGGTTTTAAATAGTATAATCCAGTGTTTCTCAACCTGTGGGTCACAACTCCTTTGGGTTTCACATGTCAGCTATTCTGTATATCATATTTACATTACAATTTTAACAGTAGCAAAATTATAGTTATAAAGTAGCAGCAAAATTATTTTATGGTTGGAGTCACCATGACATGAGGAACTGTATCAAAGGAATTGTATCAAAGCAACAGAAAGGTTGAGAACCACTGGTATAGTCTATCATGGTAGGAGAAATGGGTACCCAGGTAGTCCCATTTTGTTAGATCAGGAAGCAAAACACTCAAGCTGGAAGTAGAATTGGGCTGTAACCTGCAAGTCTTCCCTCTAGAGCATCATGTCAGTCACAGAGCCTAATCCCTCTATACCAAAGGTTCTATAACCTCCACAAACAGAATCACTATACTAGGAACTAAATGTTCAAACATTCAAACACATAAGACTGTGGAAACATTTAACACCCAAATGAAAACATTCTATCTTTGGCCCCCATAGGCAAAATCTATCCAACCCAACTTTAAGAGTGTCCTTAGTTTCTATGGTTCCAATAATGTTCAAGACCCCTGGAACCCCTGGGGTTAGTTGTGTGATCCCTATAAAAATAAAAAACAAGTTACATTCTTCTAATATATAGTGGCAGAGTAAGCATCCCCATTCCAAAAGGGAGGAACAAGAGAAAAGCAAGACTGAATGAACCAAAGCAAGAATGAAATGTACCACTGCAAACACCAAACCCTGTAGCTCCATGCCCAGCCTCTAGGGCTTGTGATGACAATGTTTAAGCTCCAAGAGTCAGTACCACCTCTACAGCCCTGTAAACTGCAAATTTCCTGCTGGGACATTTCCTGGGCTCATTGGCTTTTTCCTGGAACCTTGGTACAAGTGTCCATGACACTGTAACTCTTGCATTCAGGACACTTGCAAAGTTAACAATATGTGACGATGCTGTCAAGTTCTGCTACTAACTCAAAATGTATCCAGGACCCTCTTAGTATAACTGCATTGGGTCTCTGAATGTCTGCTCAGAGAATCTGGGAAAGTATAGTAGAATATCTTGGAAGCCTTATAATGTCAGGTACCCCCTCCACAAACCCCACACTCTACTTTCAAATTAATTTTCATTTTTATGTCCTGGAGCCTTCTATGAGTGAGGTCTTACCCTCAAGACACCTTTCCTGTGTCTTTAGTTACTTTGTTGCTATAATAAAATTAAGAAGCAAATTAATAAAGGAAGAATTTATTCTACCTTGGAGTTTAAAAAAAAATACATTTCATCATGGTAGAAAAGGCATGGTGAAATTCATGGTAGTAGGAACATGAACCTGAATCCATCAAATCTTAACAGATCAGGAACCAGAGTGTCAGAGGGTACATTCTACACTTTCCAGGAGTGGAAAGCAGTATGCCCAGAGTCATGAAGCAGAGGTGGCATGGCTGGACTCTGACCTCCACACCCAGAACTCTTTCTTGGCACCATTAAGAAACTTAGGACTCCAGGTCACTGATCAATCCAAAGGCCTACAAATTTTGTTATGGCAACAAAGAAAGTAACTAAACAACAACAACAAAAAATTAGTATTGAGAAAAGGGATCATTACTGTGATAGTCCTAACTATGTGGTTTGTAGGCCTTCAGAAAATAATAAAAAAAAAAGGGCAAGGTTTTACATTTTCCTTGAGCCAAGACAGTCTCCTTTACTCATCCAATGTACTTGCTAAATGGATGCAAGTTCTTGTAACAAGAAGCCTGAGTGAGTTTGCCTTTTCATTTAGTCAAAACAACTAATTGAATATGATTTCTAGCTACTTCAAAAATCTATCACCTGAGAATTTGCCAGCCTCAACATCAAAGTACATCCCAAAAAGATATGGGAAATAACCAATACAAACAGGTCTGCACTCTTCTAGGCATTCAGTGGTACAGTAGATACTAAGCCCTCCTTGCCAAATTGAAGGCAGCTTATAGCTCAGTAGCTAAGTTCTGGTCCCCCTATGCCTTCCAAAAGACCCTCCTGGATAAACACATAAACACACACACACACACACACACACACACACACACACACACACACACAGCCAGGAAGCATGTGAAAGGCCCAAGAGGGAGCAACACTTTTCTATCCACGGTAAGCAAGTTCCCTTGCCTTGCTGCCCCTCTTCTAATGAAGGAGCCAAGAGCCACAACTCTCCAATATAGAAACATGAACCCTATGACCATCTGAGCTATGGTGTGGTGGCTCTAGCAAAAATTCAACCATTTATTTTATAGGCTATGAAAAGAGCGGCAAAGATCTTGCTCAAGTCCACAGAGCCAGTAGCAGCAGGAGGGAGGACTGGCTCACTAGGCCCTGATTCCCACTCTGGCACCAGGTCACAGCATATCGCTCCTACAGCCAATTCCTCCTCACCAACAAAAGGAGGCTTGAACTACTGAAACCTTCATGGTGAATTGTTTGACTGATGACTTTTTCAGGTGCTTAAATGAGAGGAGGTAGCTCTTTCTTCTTAACTTCTTCCTGCTACTTTCTTCTCCTATATTCACAACAATCCCCACGAAGTTCAAATAGGTACACACACACACACACACACACACACACACACACACACACACACACACA